GTTGTAAGGCGATAAAATTGATCTCTAAAAAGGTTAAACATAGCTTATGTTATGCACGAGTACAACTAAACACGCGAGCTTCGAATCGCTTAAACAATTAAATTGAGTAACAAAACGGCTTCGAACTGAAGTTCTACGTTGAATAATTAATTAAGATCACTTTTTTTCCTTTTATAACAAAAAAAAAATTGAATTTGCAATGCGTTAAAAGAAATGAACATCTGGTTACAAATTCTTTGAAAACAGATTTTAAAAAGTTTAAATCGTAAATTAACAATATAATATTTTAAGACTTACATTCTCTGCTATTTAATCTATAAAAAAAAGTTGCCTTACTGATAAGAAATCAGATATAGGAATAGTGCGCCTCTGTAAACACAGTAACCATTTTGTAGAGATATTTATTAACTAAAATGTCAGAACACTAACAATTTTCTCCTCCTTAAAAATAATACAATGGTTTCCATTCCAGAAATTTTATAAATTAGAAGGAAATAACTTACTTTTTTAATGTTTGTTTCCTTTACACTTTATTTTATTTATTTATTGGAAAAAGGATAGTTGAGAAAATGCTGGACCACTACCAACAATAAGATATATACATATAAAAAATACAAATTCCTATAACTGAAACAGACTAAGCTACCAATAAAAATTGGAATAACATTTTAAATTTAGCAGCAAAAAATTATTTATAAGCTTCTCCTATTTTTATAATGTTTCCAGTCTCCTTATTTATTCATTATTTAACCCGCTTAGATGTGTTATTGCTTTAAAACGAATAAAACTTTTTAACATTTTAAGTTTTTTTTTAAAAAAAAATTAAGATTTTCAATGTTAAATTTATTATTTTTTTTAAAATTTTAATCAGATTTGCTCTCAAGAAAATGAAATATTAACAAAACAATGAATGCAAAAAAAGACATTTTGTTTTCGCATCCAAAAGAAAATTTTCTTATTACAAGAAACTGGAAAACAAAAAATCAAGTAAGTATTATTAAAAATGTTCTTTATAATAATAAAAAAAATGTTGATGCATCTATTGTTGCTCTGAACCAAATTTTTGATTATATAAACATTAATTTAGACAGGGATGCAACCCATTTTTAAATAAGCAGGAAAAGTAATTAACACTTCATTACAGACAGGAAATTCTAACTACATGAAATTTTTATTTTCTACTTCTGCATCTACATTAAAATCCGATTTTAATTTCCACATACTAAATGTATAAAAATTATTTTTATCTCAAAAATTTAAAAAAAAAATGAATTTTTCTTCTATTTCTTAAAAAATTTAATTGCATTAATATTTATCTTACTTGTATTATTATAAAAATATTAGAAGATAACAATTTCATATACGTAGATAAAAATATTTTAAAGATTTTACTAAATTTCTCCAATTTTATACATTGTCTACCTCTTCTTGATTAATTCCTAATGAAATTCTGGTCGTTATATATTTATATGACATCCATTAGACGTGTGTTTAAAATTTAAGTTATATAATATAATTGGAAAGATATACTGATGGTTTGTGATAAAAATCTTGGCACCAAACAGTATTCAGAATAATAATTCTTTAATTTAAATGACTTATTTCTGTTCTTACTTTCAAAATTCTAATTAAATTTATGTAATTTTAGAAAAATTTCTATGATTTATTCTTTAAAATATATCTTCATCTTTTTTAATAGATGCCTCATAGTGTAAAGTTAAGACACTTGTAAAGTTATGGTAACAATGCTGAAAATTATATTTAAATATATCAATTTGCTGATTCCATTTTAATTTTATATTACAATTTACTACGCTAGCTTAAAATGTTCATTTGTGTATACAAAAGTTATATACTTTATTATAATGTAATAACAAGTTCATTATTGGTGTAAAGTTAAGTAAATATAGTAAACTGTAGAATTTCAATGTAATTTATGGATTCTATTACATATTTTAAAAAATGTTATACAGATTTTTGTTATTTCTCTTGTATTTATACCATAATAACAACACATTTTTATCACTTTATAGTTTAAAAATAATGGTAACATCAGCTCAGTAAGCAGAAATTTAATTACCATGTAAAAATGTTACCCTTTTACGTTGTTATTCTATTCTAATTAGAGTTCCTTTGGTCATTCGGTGGCCTAGATAATAAAGTTTCTCGATATCGTTATTAAGTTCCTTAATAAGCCGTGCACTCAAAATTATAGTTGACTTGATATAACATATATAGAGCAAGGATAAAAAAGAAAGTAATTTTGTATGTACTACTAAATGAAACATTAAAAGTCTGATAAATGTGGTACATTTAGAAATATTTACAAAAGAAATGAAATTTTTTAGTTGATATTAATATCAAATTAAATTACATAACTAAGCACTTGATACTATAATTGAACTTGACTGTAAACGACTACACTTTAAAAAATATATTTTTTTGACGATAGTTATAAATCTTCTAAAATATAATGCAAACAATAATAATTTTCTAAATTCAATAAAGTTTTTTAATTAATTTATATCAGTAATCAACCTTGATAACTTTTTAGGACATAATATGCAATCTAATTTGAAACATTCTTTTCTTTCTACAACATTCGATACTAAACAGATTGCTATCAATATTACTTAACCAAATTAATATATTACTTTTAAATATAAAACTCTTATTTTTATTGCTAAATATACACTTTAAAGTGTTATGGGATACCAATCGACATCGCGGTCATAAAAATTATTAGTAGACTTTCACACTCAAAGTTTTTAAGTGATAAAATCTGAAATATTATAAGTTAATTTTATACGCATAAAAAAATTCAAAATTTGAATTTTATCACGACAAGAACAGATCTATCTTGTTACATATTCATTAATAAAGACAAAGATTGCATAATTCATCACCATGTCGTCTACGGCGAATAACAAACAAGATAACATTCGTATTTAATAAAAAGCATGTGCGGTCCCACAACTTTTTCAATTGAAATACAACTGAACACAAAATTTATTACAAATCACAAATGTTTTTGACATTTAGGACAATTAATTAGTAGTATATTTTAGCCATTTGTTTAGATTATTAAGAACCTAAACAAATAGGCAAAATATAATACACTTAGCAAGTTAAACACGACAGAGATGAATATAGCATTTATATCACATTTATTTATTAGTATTACTTTATTTAAACAATTAATATAACGATAAAATTCTAACATTTTAAGTCAAGACAATATAAATTAATAATAAAACAATTTTTCTTTATTTGAGTTTATACTAACTGCTTTACACAATTAATAATAGAGTACATGTTGCAGTTTGAATTTATTATCTGAGTTTGCTATTTATTATAGAATAGTCCAAGCAACACAGAGTTTATTTAAATGGAAAAAATTCTACATATTATTCAATATCTTTAAACATTCAAAATTGAATTTCATTATTAGATAAAATAATAAATATATTATTTCAACTCACTTGAAAATATATAATGCATATAAAATTTTGGATTTAATTATAATACTTATTCATTATTACAACTTATAAACACTTACATATAGAACTTTTATTGATTAGAAATTCTTTCTAAAAATAATCTTAATATACACGTGTAAGGAAAAAAAAGAATAAAATTAGTTTGAATTGCTAAATATATATTATAAAGTTAAAATATTTGATAGAAGTTATAAATTGATAATCATTTGTTGACTTCTATAATTTTCTTTTGATCCGTATTTTACGTGATTTAATCACGTTTAAAGAATTTAGAAATGCAAATATAATCCGAAAACAAGAATGATAAGTAAATCTCGATAAAAATACGATTCGGTATCTTCTAAGTATAAATTAAAAACACGTCGATAATTTATATCAAATATAGAAATGTAAATTACTTCCAATCCGTTTTTTTTTTAATATTTGTAGGAAATAAATTACGCGAGGTTAAATATTTTATTCCTATAACCGAACCAAATTACAAAAGTTCGAAACAATATTTGTTTCACATAAAATATTCAGACATTTAATAATTTATTTGGTAATACGAAAGAAAGCAGTTATTAATATATAATTTGAAAGTTTTCTTCTTCCGTGGCGGGTACGCAATTTTCGAGCAAGTTAAAAATAAACTTTTACCAATAAGTCAATCTAAACAATACTTAATTAATATTATTTTCATTAATAAATATGCATAACTATTAAAAAAATAAAAATACATTATTAAATACAATTAAAAATAAATAGATAAAATTTACTAGCAAACAAAATTATATTCAATTCATGGTGTTTTTTTTTAAAAGTGATTACAACTTGCAAAATAATCTTAAGTTATTCTAAATCAACACAAATTATAAATTATTATTAGACTGCATTCAAGTTTTTATGTTTGTAAAGACTGCTATAAATCATACAGTATCACAATTATTCACCTTTAAATTCCTTTGAGCCAGACCAAATTCATTTCTTTCCACCTACTGCAAATACTAAATGCTAAGATAAATAGGTTGGCAGCAACCTCTAGGGAGGTACCGTCAACAGTTTACAGTAACTTTGGGCCTCTCGTCTCTCCACAAATTAAACCCACCAACTCTTATTTTAGCAAAAAAAAAAAAAAGAAAATAATTCTTTTAATCATTATATTTTTCCAATTTTTAATTGTGTTTGGAGCTCGTTTATAAACACGTGGGTGTAAAATGATGAAATTTTCTTATTATTTTCGAGTATTCGATGATTTATTACAAGAAAAGCGGAATTACACGTGGAATGTTAAGATCGACATTCCAGTGTAATAAATATTAAGAAAAGTAATCGTATTTTAAGGTATTTAAGAGATAAATAAGATATATTTTACCTAAATCTTCCATTTTTCTTGATAATTTCGACAGATGTCAATTAATCGGTCCGAAACTTCGGATTGATTGGAACCGGTTCCTTGTACAGTCTTATGGAGATTCACCACCGCCGAATCGGACGAGATACGCCCTAAACTTCTTCGGATTTCAAATTTGACAAGTTCTAAAACGATCCGAATGTCGTTTTGCCAGATTTTATGATTCGGTACGGAACGATTCACATATTTATTTTGAGGATATTACCTCACTGCATTCATATCTTCATAAATCCTGTTGTTGACTCATCGGCCGTCTCGCAACGACCTCTAGTGAATAAAATCTTAATTCAAATATTCTAATTTTATTAAATATATTATTATTATAAGATTTTGCTTTATAAATTTTAATATAATAATTTTGAGTTAATATTAAATATAATTTATAATTTAATCGTTTCGGAATTTGTTTTAATTTAAATTCGTATATCCTAATTGAACCTAATATGAATTTGATGATACAGACATTTCTTTCCTCTTCAAATTTTTTGACAAACGATTTTTAATTTTTAAAAATTAAATAATAATAAGGATGACATGAAAGTGTGGGCTTAATTTAAGCGCATAAATAGGCTTAAAATAAAGAAATAAAGTCACCGTCCGCCTATATACTTATCAAAACTCGAATGTATAATGTTTAACATTGGCAACATTCCATGAATTTATACATAAATAATTTTTTTTTGTTTTTTTCTAAGAAACTATTGTTGTTAATTAAAACAAAATCGACGTCTACATTCAATCCAGATGGTAATATTATCATCAAAAATACAATTAAAATTATGATTGCGACATTTTATACAACACGATTTTAACTAGTTTTCATTTATTATTATCTTTAATTTGAATTTGAATATACTTAACAAACGTTTAAATTTATTATTTATAGATTTACGTATCTGTCTGCTGATAAATGTAAAAATCTGCAACTTATACCAGTATATATAAATTTTAACTTTATAAATGAGTCAAATGAATGAACACATAATTTACCGAATGCCGTCTAACAAAATTAATATTTTAAATTTTGATTTTGAAAAAATTTCTTGAATTTTCTTCCATTTTAAATGAAAATCAAATCTTATTCCATAATTTTCTGACGCTTACAAAGGGTAACGACTTAATCAAGAGAAAGAAATGACGATGAGAATCGAACTCTTACGTTCATTTTTCATACATACAATTACATACAGTATAAATGATAATATATACTGTATATTACTGAATAAACGCCGCGACATTTAATCGAAGCATAAAGATTGTTCCCTTACGTATGCACTTTTAATTCATGACGCGACGTGACTCGGGGTTCCAGAGGGGAGCGGTGACAACTCAATACGGTAGTTTTCAGCTTTCGTATACGTGTTACTGCTAGAAATAATCTATTAGAACTAAACGTATCGATGATTATTTTGTTTTTCCAAATGAAAATTCCATATTACTGTAGCCAGAGTTACTAAGTGCAGATTTATTCTAATATCCTTTCACTGAAAATAGAAAAAAATTTCGAGCATTTCGTGTAGCAATTTTTATGCGAAAACCTAACGGTTAATAAGCTGCCAAATAGAACGATGCAATAAAAAATGTCGGTTAGGTCACAGATTAAAGAAACAGAATTGGGCGAAAAAATATTTTAAGACTTGCCAATACATCAGATCGCGCAAACTTTTCAATCCATTCTCGTGGAATGAATGAAGAGACTTTAAAACAAAAGGTGGCTTATAAAGACGAGAAAAGAAAATATTTCGTAGAAGATGAACTAATTGCAATAGGATCAAACCAGACAGCTGCTGGAAGCTATATATATATTGACGAAAAGAAAATTCGGGAGGGAAAAGGAAAGAAAATGGAACTGAGATAAAGCAAAGCCCGAAACAAGAGTTTTATCAAAGGAAGGAGGCCGTAAGATCTTCAAAGAAGAACTAGAATTTGTTTATTGAGTTTCGTCAAAGGCTTACGAGCCAAGAAACTTCAGGTGAAAACTGAAACGATAAGCAGAGAAGCCAAAGATATGGCAATTACTATGGCAAAGAAGAACTAGAATCTGTTTATTACAGTTTGGACTATGTGGCCCTTGCGCCATAAAACACCAACAAACAAACTAATTGGAGGCAAGTCGAGAATTTATTGGAGAATTCGAGGCATCGATTTAATCGTCGTACCGTCATCGAACAATTGTGACTCAAAAACTGCCGCAAGATTACATTCGAAAAATCGTCACCTTCATTAGATATGTATGACATCTGCGACGACAAAAAAATGTGCTGTGTGAAGCTGTGGTTGCGACAAAACTCCAGTTCGAATGAACTGGCGCCGCAACAATAAATCAGTCCGGTGGCAAAGATAAATCCTTCCGATAACCGGGCACGAAAAGATGCGTTGCAATGTGACATGGATTCGAGGTGTCCGGATGGAAATTCCCGAACGGATACGGGATAGAGTTCGGATACGATTGCGCGAATGGAGAGGGGGATTTAACCATTTTTATTTCTGTTTCTGAAATACTAACGCGTAAAGATGTACGAAAATTGCAAACGATTTTCCTTCAGCGTTCATCTGTATTACGTAGTGTAAAGTTATTCTAATATTTACGACCGACGGTTACGGTAATTGGATACGAAGATATTCGACTCCGAAAAATGGCGAGGTTTATCTGTAACGTAAGAAGTTCAGTTAATTTCTTAACTAGGAATATTCGATTACGGGTTAATTATAAATGCATAAGAAACAGATTACGCAACGATAAGAAATTCCGACCTCTTAATATTCCTTTGTTGAAATCATATTAATACATGCCAGTTTTCCTATAAGCAAAGACGCCCGGAGAGTAAAGAAGCCTAAGGCAAAATACATATTGTGATTCTTATAGCAAATGAAATTCTAGTACTATATTACAGTAAGAAAGTAAACGAAAAATATTGTATGGGCCCCGAAGCAATTCTCTTGTTTTTCTCCTTCTGGTCGTCCCTGCCCGTAGGAAAGAGATCGAAGAGAAACTTAAAAGATTTTTATTTTATGTAAACATTGATTATATATAAAGTTAATTCACCAAACAAACAAATTTAATGACCCGAACTGCACGCTTTTGTTGCATGTGATTCTGATTTAACAACGTATATTATCGTTAATTGCATATATTATAATATTCATTTCGGAATAATTTTAATAATTTATGTACATTTATTGTAATACAAATTAATGTATATTCGGAATCTACCGTGGCTGCTATTTCTTTCCATCTCTCTACCACATAATACTATACGTGATGTTAATTTAAATCGATATTACACAAGGTACAACACAAATTTAAATATGTATTTAAGTAATGCTGCGCGCGTAGGAATCAAATGATCGATTGTTTCGAAAATATCTTAAATTCGTAAGAGTATTTTCTAAAAAACTTTCGATAATGTGGAAATAATCGACCGCGTGAGTTCACTACAAAACGGTAATTTTTCTTAATTAATAAAGAACAGGTTGCTTATAGTGTTTTATATATATACTAGCTGCAAGGGCCCGCTTCGCTGGGCAAAAAGTAACGATAGTGAAGATTAAGATAATTACATTATAGCTAATCTTACCAGTTTTCACAGAATGCAAGAATTAGGTCCCCCGTTTCCAGACTAATTAGAGAATTTTTACGTTTAGTCAAACGAACTATTTTCAACGTTTCTGGAACGTTTACAATCGTTCTATAATCGAACCAATATTCGAATTTTATGTTCGAATTTAATTCGAACAAATTCGAACAAAACATTCGAAATAGAAAGCCACTTTCAACCACTTTCAGCCTCATATCTCCCGCACCCTTATAGCTATCGAGACGCAACCACCCCTATGCACGAATGGAGACTTGGGGCTACCACCACATACAAACACCATTCACGTGCGATGTGTAGTTTTTGCGGAAAAGTGAAATATAGGGACATACACGTCCATTTATATATATATATAATAGAATATAGATATAGATATAAGAATAACTTATTTACATCTTACTTTAATTCTCGGCCTTTAAGAAAACCTTTTTAACATGTCCATTATGGATTCGGCTAAGTCCACGATGGGGCAGACAACTATTAAGGGACATGGGACGTCACATCGAAACAGAAAACTCTCCAGAAAATTCCCGGCATTTTCTACCCGTTCGGATTCGATCAGGATCCCCCAGAGCGGAAGGCTGTCATCTTAACCGCTCGGCCATCCGGCGGTCTAATGTCTAACATTAAGAAAAATTTGGATTAGTAATATTGATAAATTCATCTATCTACAACTTTTAAAATATTAAGAAAAAATATTGATTAATTATTTAAGTATTTTAGTTAAATAAAATAAAAAAACACTTTAATTTTATTCATTAAATTTCCATCGATTCCGCTTAACATATCGATCGAAATCGATATTTTAAATGCAATTTTTTTTTTTTTGGTAGAAAAATCTGCTATTAATTCAAAAATAATTTTTAAATCTGAATATTTTATTTTTTCTAGAGAATAAATAGCAATTTTTATTGTAATTAAAATTTGGGATTAATTTCTTTTTAGAAAGAAATTTAAATTATTCGGAGAAAGACGTAAATCTGATCAAGACACGAACCGTTGTAAGTGGTCACGAGTTCGTGTCTAACCAAAGGGCTAGTTGCATGGAGTTTTCTGGGTTTTCCTCGCGTGTATAACATCTAAACAGAAGCCAATTTCTCATAGAAATCCTCCCGAGAGGAACTTCTTTCTTTGCCTTTTCATGGAAAACCTTCCGAGAGACACTCATCTCTTTGACAGATGTTCCACGTGTATCAAGATTCTCTTATTCAAACCAATCCTTTTCCACCCTTCAACATCATCTTAGTATGTTTTTAGTGTCGATTCTAATAATGGCGATTTTTACTTTAAAGAATTAATCGGGCCCTCCTTGCTCCTAATGTTTCCACATCTGGTATCGTCTTTCGTCTATCTAACACCATTCTTGAGATTAAGGAAAAACAGACAGTGGGAATTTATAATCTACAATTTTTTGTTTTCAAATTGCAACCCAAAAACTATGAATTCTTTATGGATATTACTTTAAAAAAAGTGTTTTTTTTTTTCGTGAAGAAACAATAACGTTGTTCAAAAGACAAACGTCTAAAGGCTCATTCACTTATCGCAGATTGTTATTTTGTAATTATAATTCTTATTTGTTTAAAGTGCCATTAAATAGATTGAACGGAAAGATCGATTAAGATTTAATATAATAATTTTGAGTTAATATTAAATATAATTTANAGCATTCTGATGAGTTCGTGAAACAGGACATATGCAACACTAGAGCAGAGTTGTTGCCACAGTGTAATAAATTGTGAGGTCACCGTTCACTGTAATATTCGAAAATTTCGAATGGAAGCGAATTAACCAATCACCGCGCTTTTTCGGCTGTAAATCGCGATTCGAAATGAAATTATTGCGGCGTGAATGATCGAGTAGTAAAACAGATTGATATTATATTTTGGCTTTGCCTTCAGATTTCAATTCACTTAAAAATTTTATTTTCTTTTAAAATATTTGTTTTATTTATTTATTCGTATTACGCCGGGTGATGTTTGTAAGGCAATAACAGTCACTTTAATAATAAACCGCCGTAAAAATACAATACTAAAAAAAGGAAAAAGAAAATAAATTATTAAAAATTCAGTAACGGTTGCTTAACTTTCCAGGCGACATTTGGTGGCGCCATCTGTTATCATATTTTATTAAAAACTTTTTATATCTTTATTATAAAATGACAGAAGCTTAATTTTCAGGGTAGAGATGGGTTTTATATATATATAAATTATAAATGCTAATAACGAGTAAAATCGGAGATATGACACACAACCCCTTTTATTTCCCCACCCCCTCAACCTTTAATCACCAAAATTTAATAGAATTGATCCACCTAATACACAAACCTCCCTAAAAAATTTCAGAAATTTTCGACAAAAAGCACGGGAGTTATTAAGCTTCAAAGAGGGTGAACAAAATCGTGTCACAAACACACACAGAAAAAATCCCCCCGAATTTTTTTGCATTTCTCGACGTTTAAGTCCAAAAATATAAAAATCTTGGGGAGAAATTAAAGTTTACTTTACTAAATAATATTCAACATATTTATACTTAATTAAAAATTTATATTTTGCGTATCTTGACTCGTTTGCATAATGTAACGTTTACGTAGAGGCGTAGCCTAGAGAATTCATTTGGGAGTGGCCTACGTCTAAACCCCTTCCCGAATTAACAATATTCGATGTATGCTTATTTAAATATTAATAAGTAAGTTAGAATTTTAATTAAATTACGTTTAAATTAGAATTATTGATAAATTAATCGCTTCTCAAACCAAACGTTTGACATTATTGGAAGAGCATTTTCGTACACCAACAGACTTTCGAATTACTGAATATTTGAATACGTAAACTCGAGAGATTCGGAATAACCAATGTGATGAGTAGTTGCATAAATATGCTCATTATGTAAAAAAAATAATGTAAACAATAAACTATAAAAGAAAGTAAAAATATTTGCAAGAATTTATGTGAGAAATGAGAAGAAAAAATCGTTTATTGGCAATATAGACGAAGTACTTGGCAACTTTAATCTTTTATTTCTTCGTTTATATATTTTTTACTGTTACTTTTAGGGTGTAAAATGCCTAACACATCGCTTTCTAATCAACAAGCAGTTAATATGGTAGTTCGGTTATACTTTATTTCAGTGTTTTTCAACCTTTCTGTAATAGTGGCACTCCTACTCGGTAATTTTTTCTAGGGGCACCCCCTACTTCTTTATAAACGTAGATTTACTGCGCGAGAAATGTTACAACACTACATATTTCGGGTCACCCCGGTGAAATCATTGTCTTACGTCATCACTTCCAGTCTATAGGCTATTGTTTCTGGAAGAACGCTTTGTTTATCCGTCGGTAAACGACGTCGTCAACAACTTTTTAGTTCTTTGATTGAGGTGCTAATCGGCTTCAAGAATCGTTTACGGTAAAGACGACAAAAACTGGAAGACGAGAGAGTGCGAAAACGCTATAACGGAAATTGTTTCGGCAAAACAAAAACTGGTAGACATATGAAAACACGCCTGTAGTTGTTAAAGAACGGTTGTTTTGTGTGGAGCAACCTGTACAGTTCTCATATCGTAGTATAAACAATACGTATTTACGAGCTCTTATATGCGAAAATCATTTGTTTTCGCGTTTTTTAAACACTCATCCCCCTTGGATTATGAGAGAATGCTCTTACCTGTGTCACTTTGTTTTGGCACTGCACTACCACAACAATGTACCGTAAGTTAGGTACAAGTACTGTACATTCAACCGCATCGCTGTGGTAACTGTTATTAAAAATATAAAGAAATGCTTCCTATACCGTAAACATTTATTGTTTTTAGAGTACTTTGGACAATAAAGAGCCGATTTTGTTCCATTTACGAGATCACGCGTGCTCTTACAAACGCGGAAACACAGTAAAAGCGCATTAACGAGAACTTAATTTTCAAAATTCAATCAAGGTTTAAAATACATTAGAAAATTGTGGAAGAATAAATGTACTGTACATCTTTGCAGCCTATAATACTCGGATTCTTAAAAATTCATTTTCAAAGGTTATAAAATAATTTTATAACCTTTGAAAAGATAAAATTTTCATTTAGATATTTCGTCGCATAAGGAAAGCATTCTTAATTTCGAAATATTGTTTATGAAGGAAGTATTGTATCTTTATTGATTTTGACGTTTCTATTGTCACGGGATGTAGACAAACGAGTTTTGTAATTATCAAGCGCCGTTAATAGTTGCAATAAAGAATGGTTTTGTAAATCGCATTTACATCTTTGCAGTCGATTTCTTTTCTTTTCTGCCATTGTGATGGAGATTCTATTAAAAAAAAAGCGCTTTGTTTATACAACTTAAAGTTAGTTTCTTCAAATCTTAATTATATATAGAAGCGAATTAACCAATCACCGCGCTTTTTCGGCTGTAAATCGCGATTCGAAATGAAATTATTGCGGCGTGAATGATCGAGTAGTAAAACAGAGGAACCGTTTCTTCATTTTTTCGACCAGATGGCTGCTAGATAAGGGGTTATGCCTACTACCCAGAGGAATTCGGTTCGAAACCCGATCGAAATCCCTATATTGTGGGTCGAAACATTCTTTCCCATTTCTCGGATCGACCCTATTGTGGGTCACGCCCACCCTAAATGGGCGTAACTGTGGCTGGCCACGTGGATTACAATCAATCAGTTCCTTCATTTCACGTGTTTCCAAACGATTTTATATTTAAGGAAGTTACCTACACAATTTATAAAATTATTTCGATTTAAGTTATACATATAAAAAATGAAAATATCTAAACAAAAACAATATTACACAGACTAGTAATAGTATAAAAATATAGGAAGGATGATAAATGTATTGATGCTCTGAGAAATTATTGATAAATGACAATCTCTTAATTCTAAGTTTTGATTCGGTACTGCAACACTTTACTGAAATTCTTCGGCAGACCAGAAGAAGAAAATTACACAAAATTAATTTAGTAGCACAAGAATTTTTAAATTAATGTTCATTAAACGTTCGAAAATAAATAGTTAATAACTTTTAGCAATTATTACGCATCAATTAGATTAAGAAATTCCATTATGAGTTATACACGAATAATCGAAATTAATTAATGAAACGTATCATCAGAAAATCGATAAATCCTCGATATTTATCGAAGAAAAATCTGTAATGCCAATTCTTTTCTTCTGTCGGATACGTTACAAAGTGATTAACGAGCGTTTTAAGATAATCATATTAAGACACAAAAACTGCTTGGAAACGTCTGTTTTCTTAATCCAATAACCAAGCAGAGTTTTGTTATTGGATTAAGAATCCGAGATCCACAATCTCTTGTTTCGTTGCGAATCTTCGATGCAAGAAAATGACCCTAATAAACCTGAAAGGATAACAACTACAGCGTAAACTTCTGGCTTATTCCTGCAATACCAGATTACAGAAAATAAAACTTTAACGAAAGAAAAAACCAATTTAATAAATGTCGTAATTACTCATTTCTGCCATAGGATTAATAAAATAAGTAACTTTTTTATATTCTTCGATAGGGTGAAAATTTAACCATGCTTTTATCGCTTCTTCGTGACCTTTTACCTTTGATATTTAGCTCGAAATTGAGAAAAAAATTTACACATTATCGTCTCTAGTGAGTATAGAATGTATCCAAGCCGGTAATTTCTTTTTTTAATAAAGGAAAAACTTATTGAACCGAACGACTTTAATTTTTTTTTTTTTGGATTTCTTTTATTCGAGGACGAATTCTTATAGAAGAATTTCTCTTTATCGGTTCCAATCAAAAAGTATTCGAAAGTAGAAATCAAAACGTCCGAAATTGCTCTAATTATAACGATATCATCTGATAGAAAAGTTGAATAGAATTAATGATCTTCGATGAAGAATAAAGAATGCTTTTATTCAAGGACGATTCAATTCATTTACATAGAATGCACGCTGTTTGTTCGTAATTAATACTCCGAAAAGAACGTCACAATTCTTTATTATTCTTAAAAATTAATTTTAAAATGTTATTTTATAATTGGAAAATTGTTTAAAAATGCTTTTTATCGTCGAGTAAAAGTTCGGTAAAATAATATAAACTAAATATTCTAAGAGAGAGAGATAATGACTTAAAAATTCGAAAAATATTTACGTGAAACTAGAAATAGCTCGTTTAAAATGTAATTTTTCTTATTTGTTTATGTAATTTGAGTTAATTTCAATAAGAAAAATAGAGAATAAAATCGGAAACATGTCTAACCATTCTCTTTGCTTGCTTTCCTTCGGGCAATTAGTTAATTCGGTGGCATCTGTCTCTCGAACAATCCCGCTCCTGGCTATTGTCTTTGGCACATCGACAATTTTTAACATTTACCCATTAATTACAAGTAATAACAGAATTTAAAATTATAAACACGTAAACTAGAATTTGTAATTTTAAACGGGGAAGTCGGCCTTTCCGCATACAATTTACAGCAAATGTCGAACAAAATAGGAAACGATCTACAAAAAACAGACGTAATAATACACTGTTTTTCTATATATATATATATATATATAATATTAAATATCATTATAAATTTTTTATTTATTTCTTGATTAATTTTATTAAATTTAAACATGGTAGCGAAGCCAAATTAATAAGTAAAGATAACGATAAAATATTACTTTTGCCTGGAGCTACACGCCATTGTTGTTTTCTATAATCTAGAATATAATTCATCTAGTTGTATTATAATAATAATAATAATAATAAAAAGGAAAGAATTTTGCATAAACGTGCCAGAAAGAATAAAGAGGAGGAGAGCATTTACAGAGTTAAATTTGAAAAATGTCATATTTTTACAACAGATTTTGAGTCATAAATTCGGTCGAGCAACACATCGCCGAGGATATTTATACGAGGAGTAAAACAAAATGGTAAACATCTCGGATGATGAATGGCAGCGTGTAATTTAAACCAGACAATTAGTAGAGCGGATATTGTATTTGCATTTATTATTCCGCTTTAACGAGATCGCAGTTTTGTCGTCTTTATAAAATATATAAATAAAGAGTATAATATTAAAATCTATAAAATTAACGGGGCAAGACGAAAATTCTCATTATGCCATGAAGGATATTAAATTTCGTATTAAATATTTGGAATGATTTTCCCCTTTTGGAGAAAACTAATATCGCCTTCCTGACACGAATCGGATCCATTTGAATAGTTGGCATCGGATCGATTGAATAATGAACCCGTTAATTAAGGAAACATGCAAAATGTCCTACTCGAAATCTGATCAGACAAGAACATTAACTTGTTTCGAATGATATGTTTTAAAGATAAATATATCATTTTAGAATTAACTGTATTTAAAGCGCGATCTGTTTCCAACAGGTAATTACCCTGTTTATCTACAATTAACTGCATTAACTACAGACAGAAACTTTACCGAATAAAAATTAACATATTAACTTTTTATTATTTTAATTAATATTAAAATATTTAAATATTTAACGTTCGATTAAAATCGCTCTCTTCCACACTCTTAAAAAAGTAGGTAAATTTGACAGTTGTTAATTAATTAATAAAGTCGTAGGACACACGTAAGTTTCTCTTCTATAATTTTATATAAGACGATATTTAAGAAATTAAGAGAAGAATATCGAAAGTTATTCAAATTTCAATTAAATATTCTTATCTAAATTTGACACAGTGAAGCATATTAATCTATCATTTAGATAGTAATTAAATTTTCGTGTGGTCAGATTATAGGTTTGATGTCGAACACAATGTTATGACAAGTCGCAAAGTTAATTTTATTGCTATTTCGGGAGACTTTCTCACACCCAAAACAAATCGATTCAATTATTTAAACTATTGTTTTATCTCTTGTTTAATTGTAGATACCGATCGACGTTGTTACTGTTTGATTTAAGCTTTTAAATCCTCTTAATGAATTAATTCTAAATTAATCTTTTAGTTTGGAAAAGACTGTAGATAGCGTTTTTTCTTTTTTCTTTTCTAGAAAACAGACTTTAATTAGCTTTTCTAGAATAAATATTTGAAGTTTGGCATTATTGAAATGTACACTTATTTTGTGTTTCGATGAAAGCGATTACGTAAAACTTGTCGCTTTCTTCTTAAGAAAGTTGTGTTAAATTAATTCATTTCAATTTCAAATTATTTGTTACGTCATATTCTAGAAAAAAAATTCTAGAATTTAAAAGATTTTAATATAATTTTCGATCCACAGATGGCGGTAACTGTCATATAAACGCTACAACGGCGATAATATAAGTAACGAAGGGCGAATTTATTATTAATTTTTTATTAATTTTTTTTTTCTTCTTCTTTTAACGAAAAGTGAAGAAAATAGGAAAATTTGAAATATTAAATTTACCTTTTAGAATAATTTATTATATTTATACACAAAAGGATCGTGTAAATGTAATATTAATTAGTCAATAAAAGTCGAAATGCATCAGCATAATAAGTTGGGAGTAAACGTCATTTATTGATGCGACTCTAAATGCTTCTGCGAATACAATATGAAGGAGGGAACTAGGAATTGAATTAATGCCGTTATATCTTGCATTATACAATTTCTATTCGTGCAAACTGCTATAGAATATTAATAAGTGAATAAATTCGGTAAATGGAAATATCAATAGAGATGTGCAGAAAGCTGATAAATTTTACAATTTCTGCGGTAACAACAGATTTGTTTAAACGTCATTTTCGGCAATCTTCTTCTATAATACCACTGGCATCCGTCCAACACACTGTTCGTGGTCTTTGGTTATCGCCGATGTACCTTCAATCGTCCGTAAAGGCAGAGTGATGAAAAATAAATAGATATATTTTAAATCTTTCAGGTACAAAACTCGTATACAACGTAATACGACTGTCAAGTTTTTGGGGAATTTTCAAAAAACTTGGTTGATCGATTATGTTCCTTTAGAAAACGATTTATAAGTAACTAGAAAAAAGGGAAAGATGGCAATACGATAATAATAATAAAAAAAGAAATGTTACGGGGAGGCATCCTTCAAACTTTCGGTGTCGCCATCTGGTATCGAGTTTAAGAAACCGAGGTAGTGTTGTGATTCCGTCACCATTGGTAACGTCAGGTGTGGGTTTGTGCAGTCGCAACCGTACGTAGCAGTTATGACCGGCTGACCCCGTGGTCGGACGAGACCGAAGTCGGTTATTTTCTCTCCCCGTAGGCATTTTAAAACGTAAGAAGTGGCGAAGTTGAAGAGGTGCACGTGTGGTTTGGGCGACAACGCGTGCTCTGTACCAGCACGTGACGTCGCTATGTCGACAACGTGGACGGCGGACACGATATGTTCCAAGTGTAGGCACACCATCCAATTATTGGCGGGACAGCTCTTTTCTCATTTCGGCTTGTGTTGTCTGGTGTTATGCTACTGCATTTTGGGCGCGTTAGTGTTTGCTGCTCTGGAGAGTACCCACGAGAAAGATCAGAGGGGGAAGGTGCGACAGTTTCGCGACTCGTGCCTACGTGACCTGTGGGATATCACCGACAGCTCGGACGTTCTGTACGAGAGAAACTGGACCAGAATGGTGGTGGACAGATTGAAACAATTCGAAAAAGATCTGGTCAGAGCGGTCAAGAAATCGGGCTTCGACGGTAAGGAAACAGAGGATCCCAATTACTTATGGACGTTTTCCAGTTCGCTGTTATATTCGGTTACCGTCATATCTACAATAGGTAAGTGCCTATACGGCAAATACTACCGGTCCTACGCGTTGATATTCTTTATAATCGATGGCTTCCACTCGAACGCGGTTCCTTCGGATCTCATTCGACACAGGCCGTTGCCGTTCGAATTTAAAGTTAGGCCACCGTTTCGGCTTAGAATTAGCGCCAGTACATACCGAAACCGATAGGCGGGCGACCGGTTTCCGGATTAAAGATGCTTCTGTTGCCAATCCATATCTTCGTAACACGTTCTACCCCAGTTTATGTAATTATCAACCGGGAAAAAATCGATGCGAGAGGTGCTTCCGGCTATTCTTTGATTTCTCTTGAAGAATTTAATGTTCCCTTTTTAACGTTTTGCCCGAACAAAGATAAAACGAAGAGCATCGGCTACGAACTCGGACTCGTAATCAGTTTCCGACATATACAACGTGTGATAAAGCGTAATAAAATAAACGACCGTTAATCGTAGTTTAATAAAGATAAAATTTAATGACGAAAAATTATAATCGTACACGAGATATATTCGAAATCACTTCCGCAAACGTGCAGCGCGAACAGAAATGATTTTTTAATGTTTTTCCCTATACAAGATATAAAAAGATTTATCTGAAACTCGACAGGAAAGTTTATTGGAATCATTTCTCATAGACTATTCCACGTCGACGTTTAAAAAAAAAAGAGGAGCAAAGAATTTTTTCAGTCGATAAGAAACGTTTCCTTTCCTTAAAATTATTGCAATTGTCCGAAATTTTGGTTTTAAAACGTTCCGAAAGTCGAAATATTCGGCCATTTTTACGCGTTTTAAAAGCGGAATAAATCGGCCTTAAAAAATTTACGAATTTTGCAAAAGTCTATTTTGTAAATCGATTTTAATGCCCGAGGAGAAGAGTCGACGGCATATTTTCAGATTTTGGCATAAAGATTTTGTTATATTACGTTGGAAATATGTTGGAGCGAATAAAGGAAGAGATTCCTTTTCACACGAAGGAAGTGTAAAAATGGTGGAATTCTTTAGCCGTTCCTCTCAAAGGATCGAATGCTCTCTCTCGAGAGAGAGACGGTGGTCGAGTTGATAAGGTACTCTCCTTACGTCGCGGTGCAAAGTTCGAGCCACCAAGCCAAAGAATTTCCCTTTCTTTCTTTCTTTTTTCGTCGCCGGCGGATAAAATCTTTATCCGGTGTTTGTTGCTGGGTCAATTTGGCTCCGGGGTGTAACTCGCAGCGGCTTAACATTCGCAGTACTCGACAATCCCTCTGAATTAGAGCGGGAGTTTCGGCCTTGGCGAGAACCTTAACGATATTTATTGTTGGTGTTATAGAAAGTTCTGTAAGAGGATGGAAGAGGAGCGACGGCATAGAAACTTTCCACTCTTATCCGGCTCTTTCACCTTTTAAGACTTTTCCAAAGGAATGGCGTCGTGTAGAAAATACCAAGATTCCTCTCAATAAGGACAATTGTAGCTTTAATAGAGATGCAAATGATAAATATTCCAAGGTTTATTCTCCTTTATTCGTCAAATAACGGTTTTCGATAACTTAATCCGACCGGAAGCCGGTAAGGAAACACCGTCGTCGCACTAAATCCCAATTAATTAACGCAGAGAAGTCCTTTGATTTTTTTTTCTTCTTGTATCGGCCGATGAAACGCATTCGGAACGAAAAGTTTCCCGAGAAAATTTTAATTAAAGCAAGTAATAAGTAAAGCGGAAGAGAAAATTCGAGAAATAGATTTCCACGTAATTTCCGATAATTAAAAAATGAGAGAGAGAGATTCTAATGAACGTTTAGCGTGATGTATGCGATCCTTTAGAAGTTCATTAAGTCATATTTGATTGAATGGTTATGACGTCGTTTGCCTTACGAATTCGTCGTAGGAAGGTTTTCTGCGGTTCCGATAACCTTACTCCAGATGGAAAAACGTCATTAAGATGTGACGGTCGGTAATAAACCGGCAAGGATTGATCATTTTGACATTTCTGCCAAACATATTGGCATCGTTTGGACGAACGAACCCTTAATTAGCTAGGGCCAAAAAAAAGGGAACAATTTAATGGTCGTACATCACGAGGTAGAACCATGATGAAAGTTGTGATAAATCGATTTCCTTCATGATCTTTCGAATTTGATCGTTACCCGGTCTCGATTCCCGATCATTTCTTTTTTTTTCCCCCTTCCCTCTGCTGTTTTATCTGATGCCAAGTTTGTTTTAAGTTTTACAAGGATATCAATTCCGTTAGCGATAACGAAATTACTTTAATACCGAAAATATTGGAAAATGATGTGTGAAGTGTCGAGCATTTGACACCATTGATTTATTAGCCAAAGTGGAACTTTGTTAATATTTTAAGAGATCTTCTCCGCTCTCCAGCGAGCTTTAGGATCTTCCAAAAGCCTTGTAAATCCCGAAAGTGTCAGAAAAAATGATTTAGACGGTGTTAAAAATGAAGAACGGCTAACGTTTACCTTCGAATTTTCTGTATGGTTTATAAAATATCAACATGGAAAAGCATTTCGGTGTTTTTAAGTTTTTAAAATTTTCGCGTGTATATTTTATTATGAGCGCTTTTCCGTATATTTTATAGCATCGAATTTATAGAAAAGAAATACGAAAAATCGGATTTCGAGCTCGATTTTTGGATACTCTCACGTGACTACACTATTTTTTCTCGGTATCGGTTCGAAAATCCCTACGAAAATCAATAATTTAAAACTAGACGTAAAACTTATATTTGTTACGTATGCACTTTTTGAACTGCCGCATGTAAAATGGACTCTTAAATTGGTAGAATTTCTTTTTACTTCAGTTTTTATTTAAGTTTATATTCTATATTTTTGTTTGAATTTGGTTCATTAAAAGTTTAGAAAAGAATCGAGAAGCTTGAAGTAGAAGAAAAAGAAAAAAAAACCGAAGATGTTATCGAATTTTTGACATTATGCGCTTCGCTTTAAGTCTTTAAAAGTGCTCTTTATGCAATATTTTCTCAAAATTTTTTTTTTTTTTTTTTATAAGAAAGGATCGAATCGGTTTCCTTTTACGTATTCCATTTCATATTTTGCGTGTCGATAAAGATAAACGTCAATCTTTTAATAACAATATCGCGAAACAGTCCCTCTAGAATTCAATTTTTTTTTTGTGTTTTAAAAAAAACTAAAGTCGGAAATTCGAATATTTTCCATACTTTCACTTCTTCTTCCCTCCAACCCATCAAAAACTGACAAGGTTCTTTCTAAACTGACAGACAGCAAACTTCGATTTCTGAAATAACTAAGAATTCTATTCTATAAAATGCAAACATATAACTTTTCGACGTCGACCATTTTAAACATCTGTTTATTACTAATGCAGTAGTCCAAACGATGGGTTCGTTTTCCAAAAGAAAATACAACCGAATTCATAACATTTTTATTGTTTTCTCGACTTATTCTTCGTTTGTAGAATCAGAAAATGTGTAAGTTAAAGTGTTTTTTTAAACCGTTCGTTTCTTATTTCCATCAAGAATATTGTGTTCTTTTTTTTATTTTTAACCAATTTGAAAAGCTTTTAAAAATAAAAAAATAAGTTATTTTCTTCTTTGTTTTTTTCCCTTTCTTTTCCTGGTGGAGATTAACATCGTTTTTGTATACAGGTATCTCGAAACAATACGTTTCTTTCGGTTTTCAACCTTCTTAAATTTCTACAAATTCTTATTTTTACTACTTTAAAATGATTTTAATTTTAAGCCATTCTTTCAGTTTTCTTATTGTTTTTTTTATATTAAAAAAATAAAAATAATAATAATAAAATCGAAAGGTTGAAAAATCCATAATGATCCGAACCACGTTTACTTTTCGACCCGGTCTACGAGTATAGAAAACAATAAGAAAAGAAGTAATAAAGGAGAATTTCCAATAAAATTTCATGTTTAATGAATCAAAGAACATAAAAGATTTGTTTTAAATCCGGCAATAAAAAAAAATCGATTTAATAAATAATTATTTCTTAGGAAACGGAGTTGGATCGAGAGGGAATATTCGGAATGTTATCGATTCCTCCCCCTTTCGTAAAAGAGGAATGTTGCTGCGCTTTAAATAAATAAACAAGAACAAAAAAAAGAAAAAAATCTTTTATTTGAAATTGTTTTGTTTGTTGTTTTGACAAAAATATCCTATTAAAACAGAAAAAGTAAATGTGTCATACCTATCGACACTACGCCAATTTCTTCTACTGTACTTCTATACACCAATACCGGGATTTGTCGACAAGCAAAAATTCTTCTTCGACATTTCTCTTATTTTACAATTTAAAATATTTTTCCGTATTTTTTTTCCTCTCCGCTTTAATAAATGAAAAGAAGGATAAATCATTTAAATTTATATAAAATATAACTGCGCAGATGCGCATATGACTCTGTAATTTAAATTAATTAATAGAATTTGAAGGCCTTGGATTATTAATTTGAATATTTGATAATAAAGAGTAGAATGGAATAAAAATTTTATAGAAGTTTAACTTCATCTAAAAATTTATTACATTTTTTTTTAATGCGCTGTAAATTTTGTTTCTTTTGGCCAGGTTTTTAGATTTATTCGTATTTTTATTATCGATTTTTTTTCCTTCCCCCTTTACGAAAATTGCATCGAGTGCGATTGAAATATTTAATACGAACATTCCGCCATTTTCTTATTAAATATTTCTGTCCGTAACGCTCCCGACATGCTTTGCGCTAAAGAATATAGCGCCTCCTCTGGGACGTTTACCGCAACGCATTTATACGAAAAATTTATTCGTCGAGAAGAGTTTTTTAAGTTTTAAGACGTCGGAATTTTTATTCAATTTTAAAATATTTATGAAATTTCATTATTTAAATTATTTATTATTTTATTTATTTTTTTTTTTTTAATATTTTAAATCTTTCGTTTTTCTCGACTTTTTTGTGTACGAAATGCGAAGAATTTTATTTAAGCAAGCAGGAAAATACTTTATTAGAGTTTATATTAGCTTTTACAATAAGAAAGAATGGTTATTA